TTAAAGATCTCAGACCCTACAAGAGCCTCCCACACTCCAGCTCCTGTGTTTCATCTCTACACCCACATACTTAGAGAAGCAGGGTGTATACAGTGCATGAAGACAGCTGTAAATGGCCAAAGAAAACTGTGCAAAAGAAGATTGGGAGTTAAGGCTACACTTATTTACAAGCTAGGGTGAACCAGGCATTTTGGGAGGGGAACGAGCAGGCACAAGTGTATCAGCTCTGTTTGACCTCCCCAGTGTCCCAGCTGATAGGATGGAACGGTGATGGTTCTGACTGAGGTACGGATGACATCAAAAGCTCATCCATTCTCTATAAGCTTCATAGGCATCTCTAGGTAAGAGATGGGCATCACAGGAAGAAAAGAAAACGCAGGAGTCCTGTGGGGGCCTTGTCTCCTTCCTCCAGCTCCTGGTACTATCAAGATCTCCAGTGCTCTTGTCAATCATCCTGGCTACAGAGTTCACTCTGCTGTTGTAAGCCCTGGCTTCAGCACTGGTCCCAGCCCAGCATGTGACTGTGCTCACCTGTCATGGCGTCTTTTCTGGAAGTGTGTTCTCCTTTAGTTCCATGGTAAGTGGCATTGTTGCCAGTAGACTCATAATCTGTTTTCCTTTCTTTGAGGCTGATCATTTCCCGAGGTGAAGCTGGGGCACTTGCTATATCAAGAAATGAGAAAGGTTATTTTCTGCATCTCACTTCATGGTTTGCGTGGATTTTTGCATAAACAGTTAGCCTCACAAATACACATGGCTCAACATATATCAGTACGGGTACATGGATTGTTTATCTTTCCTTATTATTATTTTTTGCTTTTGTTGTTACCATCAGTCCATGGTAACCGCTGCTTTATCATAAGTGGGTCAGTTTGACCTGGAGGCTGGCAATTGAGGACTACACCCCGGAGTCATCTTCCTTGGGGAGAAATGGTGGAGACATAACTTTCCCTAAGTGTACAGAAGGCCTTTAAGAATGAAACTGGTCTTTTGAGTTCATTCTCATTCCCTTCCCTCTCCCCCTCTCTTTCTTTTTTAATTAGATATGCTTCAAAGGACTTGTTATAGTTTGAGCATCCCTAATTTGAAAACCCTAAGTAGAAACACTCTGAAGTCTGAAACCTTCTGAGCACTGACAAGACTACCGAGGTGGAAAATTCCACATACCCCACCTCATAGCACAGGCTGCACTCAAAGCACTCAGAATAACTTAAACCTTTGTGTACAATTAATGCCTGGCTGCATAAAAGTTCTGCAGGGAACACAATGCATTTTGTGTTTAGACTTGTGTTGTCTGCTGAAGATATTTCCACGTATGAAATTCCATATAGGAAATTATTCTAAACTGAAAAAAAAATTTTTTTTAAATGAGAAACCTGAAACATTTCTGGTCCTAGCCATTTGATTAAAGGATATCAGATTCATGTTGACAATAAAGAATCCCCAATGAAAAGATATGCCAAATGAGTTCAACATGGAGTTGCCCAGCAGCTGCCTTATATAAGGCAAGAGCAGAATATCTCATTAGGGTGTTTGCTATGCTGAAGCCATGGCACACACCAGGCTCTTCTCGGGCAGTCTCGGGTGCGTGTGAAGAATGCTTTTTTTTCCCCTCACAGGACATTTTGGCTTCAGCTCTCAGGGTGCTCAAGCCAATAATGTCTCACACAACCCTTAAGTTTCAGCTGCTTATTGATTGCTGGGAATGACGGATGTACCTCCCCATCAGCCATGTTTCTAGAAGAGATGGGTTGTAGGTACAGAAAAGACCCCCCCCCATGGAATTCCATGTTTTTTAAAGTAAGCTGGCACCAGAAACATGGAAACCACAGCTAATGGGATGGCTTCGTAGCTACTTAACAGTGAGCCAGTGTAGAGATGTGGGAAGAGTCAGGAGGCAGCAGCGTGCTACAGGGTGCCAGGCCTGTTTCCACCATGATGGGGACATCATATGCAGCATGAGGACCTCAGCCATGGTGTTCTCTTATGTTCCATTTTCCTCTGAGTTCCTGGATACCAGGGCAGTGCTCCATAATCTGTCTTTCCCCAAAAATCTGCTTGAGAGTTTAGGGACCCTTCCCCAAATCCTGAACTTTCCTTGATTTAAAGTTTCCATGAAGAAGCCTTGGAATCTGCTCCTAAGAAACATACCAGGTTATGAATAAACCTCTGTTTTTTTTTTTTAACTGGTTTTTAACATAAATCCCTCTTTGCTGGTGTCAAAGCCACTTTTCCAGCCATGGTTTACCTTTCAGAGCTCCATTGACACTCTGTGCAGGGCTCCTCAGCCCCAGCACACAGGACTTGCCCGTACCCTAAATGTACCTTTTTTCCATCATGTGAGTTATTGGATTCTGTCAACTCAGTAGACTCTGTGTGCCAATCCCTGTGCCAGACGCTATGCTATGCTTGCTAAACCCAGGGAACCCCTGAATAGGGAACTGGATGTGCAAAGACATTAGAATCAGAGTTGGAAGTTTTCAGAAGTCCGATCCAAATGCTGGAAAGGTAAACAGGTACCATTTGGCTGTCCCAAAAGAACTTCACTGCCTCCCAAACTGATCAAAATGAAACTAGGGGCTCACTGCTGGTCTCTTTTGGTGGTTGAAGATTTCCAACCCTGCCTTTTTATATCAGAAAAAATCACCAAAATTCATAAAATATAGATGCTTGAGCACCACACAATACAGGTTGAATCAATTCAGCACCCAGTGGAAATCTACAAGCGTTGGACATGACAACCTGCAGTGTTCTTGTCTCTCAGTGATCAGACTCCAGCGCTATATTTCCCTGCTATATAGGGACTTTGGCTCTTCAAGAAGGGATCAGAGTCTGATGTAGGTGAGGAACAGAGCAGGGCTGAACTGCTGTCCATTTTAGGCTGGATAGAGACAGAGAAAAGGGGTACTGTGGTGGTAGTGGGGGGAGGACATTGCATTTTATGTGTCTTGAGGCTCCTGAGCTTGAAGGAAAATTACTGCAAGAACAACCAGGTTCCAACAAGCCGCAGCTTGGCTGGGCTCAATGCACTCCTGCCTGTTCCTGTCCCATTGGCTGCTGGGGTCTCCTTCTACCACCTCTCTCTTCTGCTTAACCTGTCCTTCTTCTGTCCTTGTTCCTCTGGTCCTGGGTATCCTTGTATAGAATCTGGCCATTTAGGAGTCTGTGCTATCAATCAAGAAGGCACAGTATTTTGGAACCTTTTGACCAAAGCTTTTAAAATGAGAGCGTAATATTGCACAGATGGTGGTGTTTATTAAGCTACATGAAGTGTGTAATTATCTCCTGAGACCCTGCACGCGTGATGCTTTGAGCCTCCAGTAAATCAGGATTAAGCTCCAGGAAAGATCAAATCATGCGAACAAATGTTTATCAGGTGTCTTGATGTGCCTGGCCTAGGAAATACCAAGGCAGAGCACTTGTTGAATGGACCCCCATTCTTTCCCTTGCTCTTCTACTACAGAAGTGCCAACACCTTCTCATCCCTCTCTCATTTCATCCTCCTGACACGGATTGGTTGACTTTAGATCTTAGAGCCATTAACCAGCCACCTTCCTTATATGCCCTAGGTGCTCTTTAAGCCTTCAGAATTATAGAGTTAGAAGTACGTTTGTCTACCTCTGTGCTTCCAAGTTACAGAGAGTTCCTGACTCTCATCTATGGTTGGACCAAATGTCCTATGAACAACCATGTCTTGAACACACAAACTTTCATGGAGTTTGGAGAGGGTAATTGATTTCACTCAAATTTTCTCTCTGTTTCTGCTTTTCGTCAACCCTGTGACAGTAAGCCTGATGTAAAAGATTGCGTGCAGTCATCCTCAAAGTGGCACAAAAGCTACTTTGCTGGGCAGATTTTTTTATCCAGCCTTCCAAGATGCTGTCTCAAAGACCAGGATTTCCTCAGTGGGGGTTGCAGGCCAGGGAGGGCAAGAGAAGAATGTCACAAATAAGAGCCTAGATAAAGAGGCATGCGTGAGGACATCTGATTATTTCGTCTTCACTTATTCCCCAATAAAAAAATAAACAAGCAGCTGGGTACGATGGAGCACACCTGTAATCCCAGTACTCCAGAGGCAGAGGCAGGTGGATCTCTGTGAGTTCAAAGCCAGTCTGGCCTACAAAGTGAGTTCAGGACAGCCAAGGCTACACAGAAAAATAAATAAATAAATAAATACATAAATAATAAAATAAATAAATAAAATAAATACACAGGCTTAACACCTTATATACTTTAGGAAACAGAACAATAGGACACTTACATTACTAAATAACACACATTTACCATTCATATTTCCATCTAATGTTCAGGATAATTCAAAATGACTGGAAAATCATATAAAGTATTTTAGAAACAAAACAACTAAAATCTAAATTTAAGTGATTAAGGATTTGGCAAAATGAGGAAAAATCAGGAATAAAAGTTGGTTATGATACAAACATATTGATGATTTATACGTTATAATAAGTGAATTGGGCATAGGATAGTTGGAAACACTTAGGTAACTCTGATGTGAACCCTTGCCTACTTCCTTTACAGTTTTCTTTCTCATTGAGTGCACTAGGGCATTCCATAGACAGGAAACAAGTTCAGCCTAGACTGGCTCTCAATCTGTGCGTGCCCAGCAGGGTTGCCCCCTCAACAGAACATGCATCCACATACTACCCAATGTATGAGCCAGACAGCTATTCTCAGTGTGGTGTTGAGATGGGGGGCTGGGAATGAGTCCCTGGGCTCAGAAGGAAGCCAAGGCCTGAGCTGCCTCTTACCTGAGCGGTTGTTGGGAGACACACGCACAGGAGAGATGGAGGGTGTGCGGGAGGAGGAGTAGGGCCTTTGTCGATCCCTCTCGATGGTTGAAGATGAGGCTACAAAGTGATATTGAGACCATCCATCCTGCAAAAGACAGCACACTCTCATTAAGCAGGGAAGGACGGGCATGCTTCATCTCCTGACTCTGCCGAGTTCCAAGCCTATGAATTTGCAAAACATTTCTGCAGGTGTCAGAAGAGATTATGGATTTTCATACATCATCAAGGCTTAACCCACAGGAATGCGAACTGAGGATACACCTCTTCCTCCTCCAGACTGCCTGGCTGAGAAGGTGGGTGGTTTGTGTCTGCTTCCTCCCCCCCCCAAAAAAAAAAATTGAATGAATGGTTTCTGTGCCAATTATTCTGTGTCAAATGCATTGTTGAAGACAAATACACTGTCTAGAACGTCAGATGCCTCAACATATCTGCTTTGGCCTCCCTGGCTTCATCTCTGCCTGCTTGTTCTCCATTTGCTAGCAAACCTTTCTCAAGTGTTGATTTTCTTATTCTCAGGGCATATCTGTGAGCAACAGAGTCCTGGGACAGCATCCTGTCCTCTCTCTTATTCATCCCATTTACATAAATTCCAACTTCTTTCTGGGTCACAGAAGGCCCCACCCCCTTCAGAACCCCTGCCTCAGGACCTCAAAGCTCTGGTAAGACACTGGATGATAATACATTCCCTGGAGAGCCTGGACATTCCACTTCTATTTGAGTAGCCTCAGAACGTCTCCCAGCACATCTCTGTTTTCCATCCCATCTTCTCCATACCCCACCGATTCGTCTGTCTCCCACCACATCTTCCCTAGCCTGCCGATATCTGGTCAGCATATGAAATGCATACATTCTATTTTATAATAAGTCCCATACAAATGAATCCCAGGTCATATTGTGAATTCATAGAGAATAAAGAAGAAAATTAAAACAGCCGATGACAGAGAACTCTTGTTAATGTGCCATAGGCTTTCTGTTTTTTCTTTTTCAATTCAATTGTATTTCTATCAAAGTACTATCCCAAGGAGTGCTGGCATAACAAGAAAGAACACCAGGCACCTGCCCTGCTCTGAGTTCCCTCTTCACAGAGGTAACTCTTTCCAACTCTTTTAGTACTAATTTTAAAAAGATAATATTTGGATTTTAAAAGTTTGATGTTCTATGAGGAATCATTGAAAATACCAATAGATGAAAATTAAGAACAAAATTCATACTCCTTTTAATATTTATCTGATTTTGATACTTCCTGCTCTTACTCATACAAAAAGGCAGGGCTAGAAGTACACTTTTTGAAAGAGGCTACCTAACACATCCTGGGTAAGTGATGGTGTGGTAAGCTTCTCTTAACAAGAGTCTAAGAGCTGGATTCCATAGAGAAGAAAGGTAGTGTGTCCACTCAAATCAAAAAAGGAAACAAGTTAAAGATACTGCTATTAAAATGTGATGTTCTTATATATGGACGAGAAAACAGCAATTAAAAGAGCACAGAGCACTAGTGTGGCTGCGCTGTGTAATGCAGTCAAGGAAGCACTTTGCAGAGTTAACACTCTAGGGGTTATAAGGTGCCACGCACTAAGGACAGAAGTATGGGTTACCTGGAGGTGGGCAGTAAGGTCAGAGGCAGAGTTTCTAAGTCAAGGGAAAAACAGATGTGAAGGTGTTGGGTTGAAACAGAATGGTTGCTATGCCTGAGGAGTGACCAAGGGTATAGTAAGACACATAGCCTTCTGAGTATTGAGAGCTGAAGGCAGCTTACAGATTAATAGAATAGAACCTGTGGCTCTTGGTGGAGGAAGAGAACACATGAGCAACTGACTGAAATGGAGGTCCTGGGGAGAAGTGGAATGCTTGAATTTCCTTTTTTTTTTTTTTTTTTT